GATCTTATAAATGAGATAAAATCAATGTATAGTTAAACAATGATTCGGATAAAGTATCTTTCATGGATTCTCTGGTCGTTGTAATTAACATTGTTGTTTTGTATTATAGAAAACTAATCTAAAATCATTTTAAAGTAATTCAAGCTTTTTAAAGAAGATATAAAGATACGTTGTATCAGCTATAGTGTTCCGAAAACAATACACAGGTTTTAATGGATTTTTTATTAATGTTTTCAAATGCGAACATACATGGTTTAGGTAATCATAGTAGATGTAAAGCGATAATCTATTGAAGTTACACAGGCTTACTGTCAAGAATGATAATTTAATTTCAGAGTAATATCATATATCACATCATCATGTGTTATAACCCAAACCTAAAGCATTGATTCATTTTTATCCCTTCTAGTTTCACTCTTCTGTATACGAGTGGATATGAGAAAGATTCATAAGTAAACTTTATATTAAAAAAAAAATGTTCTTAGGACTTAATGCACTTGAGGATTAGATGACGTTTTATAGGAGAAAAAAAATGCATTAAACATTTCTTTCTTGAAATATTATCTAGATTGACTTATATCTTCTCTGTGTCATTGCGGTGAATAGGTAGATAAATTACAGCGATATAAATTGTGAGGATGGATAATATTTTAGGAGCTTTTCATCTTTACGAGAACGATACTCTAGGCCTCTTGCTGCCCGTGGAACTAGCTAGATATTGTCCAAAATCCATCGTATCAAACTTTTTAGAAGAAAAACTGTTAAGTTTGACTACTCATCATGGCAAAATCTCCATACATTCTCCTCTGTACTTGAACTATGCACCTTGAAGCTGACAAGGCGCTGCTTCAGCAAACGTAACAAGCCTATTGTTAAATACGAGGGCTGTGATTTTGTTGCAAACGTGATAAGCCTGTCGTTAAATACGAGGGCTGTGATTTTGTTTCTTCGACCATAATTCCCATGGAAACAGCTTTTGATACTGAAGTGTAGCTAGAATCCTGGGACCTTATCCTTCGTAAACTCCAGGTCCTTATTTATTCTATTGTTAACGGTACAAGGATATATACCCACTTTTATCACTATGGCTTTTGGGTTCGGAGGGTTCTCTTTCGCAACTATTTCCTTCACTTTTTCAAAGATGTCATTGAACTGGATTGGTTCGAAGTTTTTTTTTGTTGTTGTTCTTTATAGCATTTTATTGTTCGAGTCTCTTCCTTTCCACGGATGATATTGAAGGTTCTATTCTCCGTCACATTACTGAAATGACGAGCATGTTCGGTAACGTGGATTCGAACCCGCGGCCCTAGATTGCCAGGCAAGCGCCCTAGCTACCAGACCATGCTAAAACGCAAATAATTATATACTTTCATTGCTATAAGTACGTGTCCATGTGTGTGGTGTTTGTTTGAGTAATATGCCTTGCAAGGTAGCATTAATGTTTGATGTTTTCTTAGTTGCGAATATCTACATATTCAAACCCGTTTTCTAAAAACAAAATATAGACTAATAAATTATAGTTTAATTAGACAAGCATCTGATCTCTTTTACAAAGTTGAAGATATTATAAAGGAGCGAGCACAACTAAGAATAACAGGGAAATAGTATAGAATATTAATTAAGGGAAATATATATTCGTTTGTGATTAGGAACCATATAGTAAATAGTTATTAGTCAAGGGAAAAGTGAACTAGTTTGTGATTAGGAACTATATAGTAAATAGTTATTAGTTAAGGGAAAAGTGAACTAGTTTGTGATTAGGAACTATATAGTAAATAGTTAATAGTTAAGGGAAAAGTGAACTAGTTTGTGATTAGGAACCATATAGTAAATAGTTATTAGTTAAGGGAAAAGTGAACTAGTTTGTGATTAGGAACTATATAGTATATAGTTATTAGTTAAGGGAAAAGTGAACTAGTTTGTGATTAGATTGTAAGATGTGTAAGATTGAGGGTTCCTCGTCATCTGATAGGTGTAAAATTGAGGGTTCCTCGTCATCTGATAGGTGTAACATTGAAGGTTCCTCATCATCTGATAGGTGTAAGATTGAGGGTTCCTCGTCACCTGATAGGTGTAAGATTGAGGGTTCCTCGTCATCTGATAGGTGTAAGATTGAGGGTTCCTCGTCATCTGATAGGTGTAAGATTGAGGGTTCCTCATCATCATGAGTTGCTATTTCTTTTCAGTCATTGATTCCTCAACCACATGACCCTTTCTTCCGAGTATTTGCACCTATAGCTATCATATTCAAATTGGGCAGTATACTGATGTTCTAGGCATTACACCCAATGACACTAGACATCCTAAACTGTGTTAATCAAGCAGTTATCATCCAACATTCTACGGATACCTCTTCTTGTGGAATTCAGCTGCATCAATTGAGGAGCTGATGGTGGCAACTTGGTTAACTGTTGGAGCAGTCTCTTGCCTCTAAATTCAGTATCTCCTTATCTGCTCCATCGTGAATAGCCATATTAATACTACCACCTGTTTCCTCCTCCTCTACTAGGTTGGGGTGGTCCAAGACACCATTCTCATCTTTCTCTGACCATTTGTCAGCCAGTGCACAAGAGAATAATCAGCAACATACAGATGCAGCTGATTGACATACACTATAAATGAATAGGCCTTGGCTCATTTCATGACGTATTCAATGGTACAAGTACATCCAAGTCACCTCATTCTGCTTCAAGAAATGAACCATCAAAATTCTGAGCTCTTCTTTTTAAAAAAGAACCAACAATTCTGAATCACTATCAAACATTAACGCAATTGCTTTACAAAGTCTAGAGAACTTCATGCTTCAAAGCTCTGGGGTGAGAAGCTGAAACACAGGCTAGGAATCATGGCTCAATAGTTGGTAAAAATGATACCGAATATCTTCCTGCCCTCATAGCTTCTCACACAAGTACTATAGTTCATATGTATCAATCCAATCTGATCAGGTTTTTGCTGCCTGGCAAGGAGCACCAATGCTAGTTATTGATCCCTCTGTTGCTATTTCCAGATCTTCTCGAACTACTTGTGGCATCCATCCACTAGTGGAATCTCCTACTGGAATGGTTTCTACTCTCATACAGTGTTCATGGTCTGAACATTCAACAAATGGACAAGGTCTCACTATGCAGGAAGAAAATCCATCAGTATTTCCTTGTTGTGGGCCCAGACCACAGTTCTGCAACACTATTATCCAGCATGCAGTTATGCCTTCTGGAATTTTGTAGTCCATGGATCATTTCAATGATGCATGGTCCACCTGAATGGTGAACTTTCTACCATACAAGTACTTTCAGTAATGTTTTATGAGGACTACAATTCAAAGCATTTCATTCTTTGTCATACAGTATCTGCATTCTGGAGCCATGAAAATGCAACTAGCATACACAATTACACATTCTACAGTATCCTGCAGCTGCTATAACACTGCTCCAATTCCACCAACATTGACATCTGTACTTAGTATCTAACAAAAAACCTTCAGTGACTAGGTTGTGGAAAATGCCAATAATGAAATACACACATCAAGAGAAAAACCAACCACTCTATAATATGATATCGTGTGTTCACAGCACCAACATTTTCTCTTTCCTTTCCACTCCATGATATTTTCAGGCTGAACTAATTTCTTAGAGCAACAAGATAGGCCGGCAGAATAACAGGAGATTCGAAAGAGATATTTATAACAAGGTAAGTTTTAGTTTTCTGAGTAACTGAGTTTGTGAGAATAAAATAAAGACTGTTTAAATTATTACAGAAAAACACATTACAGCATTAATACAATTTGGTGTAACTTCTCAGAAGTTTTACGATGTAATACCCAAGTCATTTTGAATTCCCAAACTTTGTGAAACAACATATAAATACATGTTTATTACCAGTGTTAAAAAGCTACTAAAATGGATAATGGATATACCAATTCTAGTTGAGAAAGGTCTGAAATACATTAAAGAGCAATTAGATAAATATTAAATATTGTGAATTTATCTAATTTCAGTTGAATTCTTGATGATAAGAACAGATTAAAACCAGTTTACAGTATCTTCACAATATTTAATATTTTATCTAATTTCAGTTGAATTCTTGATGATAAGAACAGATTAAAACCAGTTTATACTGTAATATTACATATTGTGAAGAAACTGGTTTTAATCTGTTCATCATCATCAAGAATTCAACTGAAATTAGATAAATACTGTAATATTAAATATTGTGAAGAAACTGGTTTTAATCTGTTCTTCATCATCAAGAATTCAACTGAAATCAGATAAATACTATAATATTACATATTGTGAAGAAACTGGTTTTAATCTGTTCTTCATCATCAAGAATTCAACTGAAATTAGATAAATACTATAATATTAAATATTGTGAAGAAACTGGTTTTAATCTGTTCTTCATCATCAAGAATTCAACTGAAATTAGATAAATAGTGTAATATTACATATAGTGAAGAAACTGGTTTTAATCTGTTCATCATCATCAAGAATTCAACTGAAATTAGATAAATACTGTAATATTACATATTGTGAAAAACTGGTTTTAATTTGTTCTTCATCATCAAGAATTCAACTGAAATTAGATAAATACTGTGAAGAAACTGGTTTTAATCTGTTCATTATCATCAAGAATTCAACTGAATGTAAAGAGAACATAAAAGACTTTGAGATAACAGAACAAAAACGTGTAATTTCAGTAATCTTTACACTAATCTTCCTGTCAATGAAATAATCTTTCATCAGAAATTTGGAACTCTTTTTGAAGAGTTAATACTTTGTGTGAATAATGACAGATGTTTTAACAATAATGTAACTTCTTGTTTCACAATAGGTGAATTCTTATTATCTATACATTTTATACTCAACAACACATTTGTACAGTTTGGCCAACAGACACACACACACACACACATATAATCAGTCTTTCAGAAAAATGGAGATTATTTTTTTTACAGGATTATCCAGGTTCCTTGACACTATCAGATGCATGTGTCTACCAGAACTCACTCTTTTAAGAAAAGCTCTTTTCATAGAAACAAAGCACATGACCAGGTTTTAGATATAAACATTGTTAGTCAAATGTTAAAAAAATTCACTGAAAGAGTCTCTTTGAATTTGATATTAAAACTTTAATCCATTTCTGAATACATTTATTCCAATTACGTTACAATACAATGTTTAATACTCATAGCTTATTAGGTACAACCAAATTTGTTCAACATTACAAGACTTTTTGGACAGAGATCATAAAATCACTTTCATATCCCAGAAACTTGGCAAGAATATTGTTAATACATAAAATCTTTTAGTTTATCTACAATACCTTAAATGCTGTATTAAAGTTAAAATTTAAATTGTTAAACATTATATTTAATTGAATATTTCATTTATTAATTATACAAAATACAGAAATTGTAACATTTTAAAAGTATCTTTAAATATTTATTTTCTAAGAACACAGGACAATTTATCCCAGCATGAGATTGCTCTTAAGAGTAGAATTATTGTTTTGTCAAAGTTTTTAGTTGCTTAAATGCTTACATAATATGACTATAAAAAAACATTTTCAAGCAACAACTTTACTCGGATATAAACATAGGTTCAACTCGACTTAGAAGCCATAAGGAAATTATGGCATACTTCACAGATACCATCTGTCAAATATGTATCAAGTCTTTTTATGGATCTTTTTTAGCCTTTGCAAGCAATTACGCTTAGGAATACATTCAGAACAATGTTTAGGAGATTGATAATCTTTAGAATAATAATCAGAATTAAATTTAGAAATATGAAGAGTAATTGGATCTCTATATCCCACATGGTGTCATAAGAGTCTCCAAATGCATGCAGCCCTAAAGAAAAATGATTAATCTCTTGTTAATATAATATATGCCATGCAGTGTCCCAAGAGCATACACACAACAAACGAGGTTCTCCTTCCTACACTTCTTGGTTAGACTAAACCTCTTCTGAAGCCCATTAACAGTTTTCCCTTTTCCCTTGCAAAAGGTGGGCCACTGCAGTTAATACGTATCAGAACCATCAGACTATTCTGTAATCTAGAAGGAAATCCATTTTCTTTAGCAGTATCATTGAAGTTAGAAACCATTACTGTCTTTCTTCCTGTACTCAGTGCTGGATTGGTCTATAAAAACATCCTAAAACTATTAGCTTTACTACTGGCTAGCAAGTTTGAGTGATTTGCATCTTCATGCCAAGGTCCTTTTCTTCATTCATGCTGAAGAGTGAGTTTTGATCTGTATTGAACATGTGAACTAATTTGTGGTAACTCAAATACAGTACCTTGCAATTAGTATAAAGTTCACTTGCTAACTTACCAATTTATTATTAACTTATTCTGTATCACCTAAACATCCTTAATACCTCAATACAGTTAAAAATACCTACAAGTTGGTCAAATCAGGCTGAGGCATTCATAGAGGAACAATAAGTGATAGAACCAAGTACTAGCCTTTGGGCATCACCTGTTGTACTTGTAATGAAGAAGAATGGATCTACAAGTTCCGCATGGACTACCTGAAGGTGAATGAAGTCGCACAGGATGCATACCCACTGCCAAGAATCGACTCTACTTTAGGTGCTTGATTGAGATCTAAATGCTTCTCAACATTGGAGATGAAGAGCAAATATTGGCAAAGATAGAGTCATCAGTGAATTTACTCTATCATCTGCCCAGGGAGAGCTCCCCAAGTGACAAAACAAAAAGCAATGACAAGGGACAAGAGGCCAACCCATCTGTGTGGTAGAACACTCAAAAAAGAAAACTACCAAAACAAATTAGTGATAGACAGTTTAGTGTAGTGTTTTCTTTTTGATTAGAATTGTTCAACAGACTTCACAATCCAGGAAGGGAGAGTGTTGTAAGCTATATTTTAAATTAATTTTTCCTGTCATCCTATTATCCTCAGAATATAGCAAAATAAAATCAGAGGCCATTTTATAACATTATATAAAGTGTTTCCTTACCATTCATATACTTGTAAAGCCTTCCTGTAAACTGAAAGAAATACAGCTGTCTTAGTGAAAGATGACATCTACCCAGCCAGAATTTATGTTTGTGTCCCCTAGTCTTACCATTCTCACCATTAAATATGAAAAAAATGATGCATCACTATAAATTCCCTTAACAATCTTATAAAGTTCAAGATCCCTTCAAATTTTAGAGATCTTAAATATCCTTTTATGACCCCTTTTCCATCTCGGGTATCATCTTAGTAGCCCTCTTCTGAACCCTTTCCAACAATTAAATGTCTTTCCTAAAGTAGAGAGACTAAGACCGAACACAATACTCTAAATGTGGCCTAAATTCAACCCCAAATGTTATGATTCTCTTAGTCTTTTGTGTGGCTACATATCAAAACCTTTTCAAATATATGAAAACTCCAAGTTCACACCCTTTCTTTTGTCTACATTACAGGTGGACAATTAACTGACTTAAATGATAACTTATGAGCATCAATTACATCCATTAATGTCATGTAAAAAATCAACGAAAATTATCATTAAATTGATTAATCATAATTTTTGATTAATTCCACTTTGTCAGCATAATCAACTAGTGACATCACTCAAGAAAATAATCAACTAATCAAAATTAGGGTTTCCAATTATCAATATTTTCAATTAATCCTACTGACCAAGTAATTGCAATAATGCCATTATATTTGTTTGTTGTAAAGCACAAAGCTACCCAATGGGCTATCTGTGCTGGGTCCACTATGAGTATCCAAAAAGCTACCCAATGGGCTATCTGTGCTGGGTCCACTATGAGTATCCAAAAAGCTACCCAATGGGCTATCTGTGCTGGGTCCACTATGAGTATCCAAAAAGCTACCCAATGTGCTATCTGTGCTGGGTCCACTATGAGTATCCAAAAAGCTACCCAATGTGCTATCTGTGCTGGGTCCACTATGAGTATCCAAAAAGCTACCCAATGTGCTATCTGTGCTGTGTCCACTATGAGTATCCAAAAAGCTACCCAATGT